CCCCCCCCTTTCTTGCCGATTTTTGCTATTTTTCAGTTTTGTGCGCTCTCTTGTTTTTATTAAAAAACATGTTTAAACTTGTTCGGGAGGTTTGACCCGTATTGATTCTCGAAGCGTACGGTCTGAGGAGTTGTTTTTGACTAAGAGTGTACTTATATACAGAAATACAAGTTTTTAAACTTGATTGATGTTTTTAAAACGGGAAAGTTCAAAAACCTGGGGAAAGACATTCATAATGTCATATCTTCACCAATTTTTGAAATTTCTGGCTTAAAATGATTATTGATTCATTCTACAAATGAACTAATTTTTGGTTTTGACTTTTACGCTCCCTCCCTAGTTATCCGCAAACGCAAGACAATCTTGACACTTGAATCTCTGTTCGTTAAGTTCGCCCCAAACCGAATTTGAGACAAATTCTGCGAAAGACAAGGTGGAGTTCGTGCTCCTGGAAGGTAGGAAACGCAACCACCAGCCAGGTTGGGGTTGGGAAAATGGGAAATATCATTTAGGAGTAGAGTAACTGGTTTAAGGGCTTGCGGCTGTTTTAGCAACCCTCTGGGCCTCCAAATCTGCAAAACAAGTAAATAAACGCGATTTTTCGAAGATTTCATATTTAATTTGAGGCGATAAAAACCAAACCAAAAGGCCTACAGAGCAAATAAACATATATTCTGAATCGTATTGATGTCAGGATCAAGAAAATGCCTGAGTTGGTAAGATCGGACTAAAACTTTAGATTTTACACGGGGTTAAAGGCGTTTTTCGTCCGTTTTGGACTTAAATCGACTAGCGCCAGACCTTAAAATGGTTTCTCGACAAAAGGAAAAAATACGTATTCTCTTATTTCCAATCTACTATCCAATTTTGATGAGCAGTGCCTTTTCCAGAAACTTCGGGTTTTTTTGGGGGGCCACCCTTCCCTTGGCGAGTTTTCATCCCCTTGACGTCACTGTCCCCTAATGCGTCATCCCCGTGACTGCTGAAATTCAGTCCCAAAAAGCGCTCCGAAAGCGCTTCCGACTTAACACAATTTTCAAATCCACACAATACGACTTACCCTATCCGCCGTGCATGTAGAGAGGTGGTAAACCCAGACTCAGCTTTGAGCGGGACGGGACCCTACCTGACTCTCTCCCACATGGATATGGATAAAACTATCCAAAAATGTAACTGGCAAAGGTGTTCTAGAATTATACTTAAAGTATACCAAAAGTGCCAGCAGAGTGTAGCAGTTCCAATCTGCAAGACTTTAGTTATACTTTTTACAAAAGTACAAATAGAAGTAAGTGTCATTGAGTTATACTTATTTCAATGCGGGTGCCACACACTGGTGCTCTATCGCACACTCCGGCCGGTTGGATCGGGCAAGAGTTCAAGCTAGCTACCTGGATACTTGATAGGTCGCCCCGACTGCTGGTAGCCTCCTCCACTCCGGCCTGTTCGGGCCGGTCAGATAGCCAGCGTATGGTCGTGGTCGTTTATGGCACCCAGCCCCCCTAGGTCAGCAGGGTCGAGTGTCGATTGCGGCAGGGCCAAGGCGTGGATTGTCGTTTGCGGCACGTGCGGGGAATGCCAAGGGAAGAAAGAGACATTTCTCTCCGCACTCCATCACTAATGCCGATTGTGCGGCATGATGGCGGTAAATATATGGTGTGCAGGAAGTATAAAATGACATGTGTCCGCCAGGTCTTGGAGAACTTCAGGTCCACTCGTTAAAGCGTTGCACGCAACGTTTCACTGATAGTATATTTGCTTATTCACTGGATTCACTTAATCACTTTGCCCCGCCGCAATCGACACTCGACTCTTCCGACATGGGGACTTAGTGCTGCAAACGACCTACAACCAGATAGCACTGACAACGCCGTTGCGGTTAGTCCGCCAATGTGCTGGTAGACCCTCCTGCCCGCTCCTGCCCCAACCCTATCCCTCTCCACCACTATGTGACCAGTTTCGGTCAGAATATGTTATGTGACCCGAGAAGGTCTACTTAACGCGACATTCGCTAGTAACCACAAAACTGCTGCACAAATTACTGGAGAGTAAACATAGATGGTTACACCACAAACGTGACCAAAAATACGTTTAAAACACACATGCGACCTTCATAGGATTTCACGAATGTTACACATATCACATTAGTTTTTCACGTGAGTTTCAAACTGGCTTCAATTAACCGTTAAAAGCTGTGGTTAAATTGTAGTTCGTTGTTTATGCAGGGACGTACGAACACAGCCAGAGAACAGGCCACACCTTATTGATGGCACGACAAATATATCGAGTGAAGACCGAGCCCGCAACAATTTGCGGAGTTCACTTGTGTTCCTGGACATCGATGAGGTGGAACATCACGTCTCAAAAGGAGTCAGGATGGACGTCGTGTTGAAGAAACCAGATGTTACTCCTTTAGACGAAGCATTATTCAAACTTAACAGTAAAATTGCGATTCTTTTGATCCACGCACTAGCTGAGCACCCTGAAATCAAGGCAGAAGCGAAGGTAAGAACTGTGAGGTGCATGTATGTTAAGTTACGGACCCCTGCGAGTGGTGGCCCTCTCGTTCTCTACAACACGCGTTGAGCTTTGTGCCTCCCATTATAGCATAGCTTAGGTTAGGTTGCCCCATTTTGGTAGTTCAGGTTGCCGATTTCACCAGTTCGCCTCTCAAATGAAAGTAGAGGTCCTTCTGATCACAACAGCTTCGCTCCGCCGGCAACTCCGTTCGGCGGAAGGGCGGGCCTGCTTGTTTTCAGCTGGGCTCTCAGCATTTCTATGTTTTTTTTCTTCTTGTAGATTTCGGGATTTTTTGGGACTGGTGGCAAACCGTTGACGCCTCTACTCACTGGACCGCGCTCTGCTTTGAATAAAACGCCATTGGAATGGGCGGTTGAGTTCAAACGCCCTCAAATTGTTCGGTCGCTGCTGAACGTTGGCGTTCCCCCGGAAGGCTCCCTCTATGGGGGCTCTCTGCTCGACTGCTGCGCGTCGTTCATGGCCAACGAGATCGTGGCCACTGACATTGCAGACCGTGAAGAAACGATGGACCTCCTCATTCAAGCTACATCGGTACAGATTCAACCAGCAGAGAATGGGGGGGGGGGGACGCTCTTATTTCTCGGTTTAAATGAGACAGGCTCCTAAACAGCACCGCAAATGACAATCCGCGCCGTGGCCCTGCCGCAATTGACACTCGACCCTTCTGACCTGGGGGCTTAGTGCCGCAAACGACCATCCAGTGGGCTTATGAAAACGACCTATTGTCTGTCTGTCTGTTTGATTGTTTGTCGGTTCCCCTAGTAGGAGGTGTGCTAGGGGGTATCTTACTTAAGGTTCATTTCTAGAGAACGAACCAGCTACGTCGAATCCTGACAACCAGCCCTAACGTTGTGAATAGGGTTGTCAAAGAAAAGGTGGTTGCCCGGATTTGCCGAAAGCATTTTGTTCTCTAGGAGTAAACCTGAAGATACCCTGAAAATTTCCTCCTTTCAGTGGCACAGATACACGGACAAACAGACCACCCTCCTGCTTTGTAAAAGCTATCGAACGGGCTGATGCAAACCACCTCGCGTTTCGTTTGGATACCTCGGAGCGAGAACCGCTCATTCTGCCGAGGCGTTTCGTCAACCGCTCAGTCTCTCGAGGCGCTACGACAACCGCTCAGTCTTTCGAGGCGCTACGACAACCGCTCAGTCTGATGACTCGCGGAGACTACCGCTCAACCGCTGCAGGAAAGCGTATTATACTGAGCTGTTGTCGAAGTGCCTCGGTAGACTGGGCGGTTGACGTAGCGCCTCGAGAGACTGAGCGGTTGAGGAAACGCATCGGCAGAATGAGCGGTTCTCGCTCTGAGGGTAACTGGTTGGCCAACTTCGCTTACGTGACTAAAAACAGGACTAAAAACAATACATTTAGAATCTAAACGATCCCTCTGATGAACTGTGTCTTTAAGGTGACACAGGACTGAAACTGGCACTAAACAGGTATTTCAAGTTTAAAATCTAAATGCGAATTAAATCAAAAAAACGCTTTCCAAAGCAATTTAAGTTAGTTCATTGCGGTTCTTTAAAGGTTTAGTATGCCTATGGTTGAACGTGACTGTGTGAGCAGAAAGCTTTTTAAAATTTCATAAAGTGACGAAATTTTAAAAAGCCTCTTGCGCACACAGTTACGTTTAACTAGAGGCTTACTATACCTTAAGGGGAAGGTATACTGAAATCCTTAAAATCTTAACACAGAAAAGTTCAAAAAAGTGGTTTATTGACTGAGCGATTAGCGAAGCCCATTACTCCACTGACCGGAAAAGTTTCATTCTGTTCACTGTAAAAAATATTCTGAAATTTCAGAGCAAAATATCTCTTAAATTTAATAACATTATCAGTTGTTCTTAAACGTAATAACAGATTAAGATATTTAAGAAGTTTTCTTAATATTGCAAACAAGGTTATGAGAATTCTGATGAAATTCTCGATTTCATAGCAGGTTTATTTAATTTAAAAGTTTTCCTTAGTTTTGACAAAATTGTGTTGAAAAGTCACAACCATTCTTACTTTTAATACTAGCATTCAGAACACTTCTTAAAAGTCATGTAGCTTTTGACCATTGGACATGGAATTTTGGCGTTCAATATAGTATTGGGTGAACAACATATCGAATTTAGATAGGCGTAATGTAGCTATGCCGCTGCCATATGTCAAAAAAGCAAGTTAACAAACATACGCCGTCCGACCAAGCACATAGCTACTCTGGGAATGCCCCTGGACGGAGCGCCGCATAAGGTCGGGTGCGAGCGCTCCCCTCACAGGTATGTCCCGACAGCCACGCGGTCTAAGGCGTCAGGATCCGAACCCAAAGGTCCGAGGTTCGAATCCACCCAGGTAAGGTAAGGTAAACATCTTTAATATGTGGGAAGTTGGGTGTAAACATCTGCCCCAAGGGGAATGAACTAAATATTTTCCAGATTTTCGTTAGGTTGGAAAAGAAGAGCATTTTTGGCGTTTCATAACACGTTCTTAATTTTCAAAACATGTTTTGAATTATAGGAAACTTTTTGTTCTTAAATTTAAGAGCAAATTTGTTTTGTAAACTGCTTCAAAACATGTGTTGTTAAAATTAAGATGGATTTTTTTTACAAACAAATTTGTTTCGACCCTCCCTACGTACAAGTGGCTATCTTTTTGGGCGTGGCAGACAAAAGGCTATCTTTTTGAGCTGGGCAGACAAACGGCTAACTGCTTTTCCCACCTCGCGACTTTGGGTTCTAATATCTTACAGTA